TAAACGATAAATACGCATTGGTTTATCATTCATTATTATTAGTTCCGTAGAGCAGCTTCTGCATGTTCTGTAAAGTGCTTGGATGTGTGGTACTGTTACTAAAAACAAGTAGCCTAATTGATATAAATGTAATGTGTTCTCTCTTCTTCTACACAGATACAGAGGTTACTTACCAATTTATTTCCCCTCTTGATCTCCCTTTTCACATCATCGAGGGAAAATCCTCCAATGTTTTCGCTGTCTGAGTGAGATGTGACCAGGGCAGAGGAGAAAAGCTGCGTGGGACATTTGAAATAAGCATACATGTGAACGTTGTACAATATCTGCATCTTCATTTCCATCATGCTACTACTGTTGGACTATTTTCAATATGAAGTGGGAGGGTTAACATAGATATCATGTCATCATCGATTCTTTTAAACGTATCATAAAAACCTGCATTTGTCAGTTCTATATGCCATATTGTTAAATGGTGTTTTCTCAACTTGGAGGTCATGATCACCAATGGGAGAAGAGACAAATTGGAGCCCTTCGAGATAATGTATAGGATATGAACCATTTCTTTCGGCTATATGCTTTTTCTCATTATGAACTGTGGCGGAAAAACACAAATCCCACAGTTGTTGTGGTTAAAGTTGACAAGGTTCTCAGGTAAACATGACTTATTCTAGCTGAAGGGTGATAGGGTTGAGAGCAGGGATCTCTCCTCACCATGCACTTATGGTGGGCTGCCACCTTCTGGCCGTCAGACAGCAGCAGCTGACCACACTCCTTGTCCCGGTTGGTTCTGCAGAAGGCACATTTAAGGAGCCGCGCTGCCGCTCCTTTCCTCTGTCCCGACATGACCGAAGGCTTTCTGGTTGGACCAAGACTCTAATAAATGAAAACAAAAACATCACAAAAAGGTGAAAGGCAAGAGGAGATAAGGATGGAAGGCTGGTAGATCCTTACAAATAGATGTTATTAAAGCAGTTATACAATTAATTGTCCACCCTTGCCATGTCATCTGGATATATATCAGGTTCAGCGTTCATACACATTCAGATAAAAGCTAATATGATTTAAATAGGATGACATATTAATTAAAAGTCAACAATTAGTCTTCTCACCAATCAAATGATTGACAGAAGATTAATTGGCAACTTTTGAGATTATCCGTCAAAATCCTTTTTCATTAAAAAATGGCAGCGAATTCTGTTTTGTAAATCTAAGATGGCCTAATACTCTCTGATGATGTCATATTAAAAAGGGATATTTGTAATTAATAGTTCGTTTTTGGCTGACAAAACCAGGCATGTTAAGACATTACCTTGGAGTTTGGGTAACCAGGATTGCATTTTTTATTTTTTGACATTTTATATTAAGATTAATCTAGAAGATAAACATATTTGTTAAATTGAAAAGAAATTGTTAGTTGCATCACCTACATACAGTTTGTAGATGATGCACAGAGTCCTCCTTAGCAATGAAGATAACGTCTGAATGGTTCAAGTTATGGCCGAATATCAGCATGAAAGCAATACAAATAAAACATATTCAGGTTGAAGGGTTCATAACGAGGTACAAATCTGCATAAACGTAATGTTAACCAAACAGCCAGCCCAAAGGAAAATGCACTGTGAACAAGTGTGTCCTAAAACTAAATGCAAGTATTGTGAAATCCTTTTGGATGGCAGCCTTTAGGAACTCTTTCCCAGAAACAGCTGGAAACGAAACTTTGACCATAGCCCCAAGAAACTCCAACAAAGAGCACCAAAGAAAAGCCCTGCTTCCTACAATAACTCAGGAAGTGTATAATATATCCTAGCAAAACCTCTGATGCTTGACATTTTCCCAACCTAGTTCAATTAATTCAACTGTGCTAAGGAAAGTCTTTGATGACATGCAATGTACGATAACTAAAATCCACGGAACAAGTTGCTGTTAACACTGCTGACCATTATCAACATGTTTTGAGATCCTTGTATGTTTGAGGAGGATAACAACCAGATTGTTTAGGCCTATGTTTTGTTGTTAAAGGAGGCAGCTGTGAACAATATCCTCTCAACATATCAACAGCCCTCACATATCAATCAGACTGAACAGTAAATAGGGTCAAGGAAATCTGATGTCCAGTTTTGTAGTTTTTTCTGCAAATGATGCAACATGTTTTGCCATTCCGCAAAGTCTTCTCTTCTAGTTTATCACATCTCATCTGCCCCACATTACATCCATAACATAATATACTTTAAAAATGCAATCAGTGGAAAATATGCAATTTTAGACTGATGTTCCTTTTATGAGCAGTAAAGACAGCCGCATTTGCAGGACATTCAAATGTCACTATTGTATCATTTTCAGCTGCATTTCTATCAAACCTTTATATTTAGATATAAATCATAATTTTCTTGGAAATTATGCAAGCTTTGTTGCATTTTCATCACAGTATTCTTTAAAATAGAGATCAAACCTCTTTATATGTGCTGCCATTGCAGAGATCGCCTGTTTGATGTTGTTCAAAAATCGCCTCAGGCGCCACATATATGTTAAATATGATAAGAAAAAGATGTGCTTAATCCTCTATTGTCCATAAGCGAAAATGGGTGTTATTTAAAAATCACAAAAGCAGTGTGCAGCGACGCCTTGATAGAGCCATTACAGCCATGATAGCAGGGCCGGGATTTCACTGCGGCGGCGGCAGCGATACACACACAACACTGCCGTGTAAATAACACCAAATACCCTTTAATTCAACCTCTGGCTCACTAACATGCTTTCATTTCACTATCCTGCCCTTTATATCCATACTGTGTTCGATTTGTCACCAGAACAAGCGAAAAATTAAAAGTGGCTAAAATTTCTCCTACAAAAGTTTTGAATTAAAGGGGGTGTGTGTCTCTTTCTCCAACAAACCAGCTATAACAGAAAACTAATTTCACTATGAACATCTCAACGCCCCAAAATCTCTCACAAGGCCTTTTCTTGTAGGAAAATAAGGTCGGTGGTAGGAAAATATGACTCTTCCTACATTGTGTTGTTGTTGAAATGCTAAAAACAGCGTTTATTTCCCTTTAAATGTGGGAAATGATCATGACAGGCGCGGGGGTTCGCAAATCGTTTCGAAGTAAAGAGCGCCATACGTGATGTGTCCCCGTGAAAGAGAGCAGCTTGTTCACCAGCAATACGGCCTGAAACCACAATAGGCCGTACAACACAGCGGGTATCTGAAACACGCTGATACACAGCTCACATCTTACCTGCTAATATAATTATTATGGCGCTGAGGAGGTGGAAAAGATGGGAAAGTGTTCCGAGAAGTGACTGTGTTTCTTCCCGTCCTTCAGAAGTGATCGTGGGCTTTTTCGCACTAGTAGCATCAAGCTAGCCGCTGTGCTCAAGGCAGCTGGACACTTCCGGGTCTGGCTTTCAAAAATAAAAGTCGCGTCCACGAATGTTTGTTAAAATGTTTCAAACGTGAAAATTATGCAGGAGGTCTGAGTATGTAGGGTGCAAAAGTGCTTTACAAAAATACCTCCTGGAAATCCTGAAGCATCAATATCCCAAAGATGGGCCGCACTTTATTCAGATTTAAATATGGTAAAGTTAATTGTTTCTTTTTTAAATTGTATTCACACAGCATAATAAACATGTTATGAATATACAGACCATTTCTGGGAATTAAAGCTCTGGCAAACAAATGTCATGCAATGTAGGCCTACATCAATACAAGGGTATAGTTGTTTCCTTTTTAGGGTAGCCTATATGTGCAATGCCTATTGTTTGATTTTGTATGATTGGAAAATAGATCATCGAAGAGAAGTTTTCAAACATGTTAAATCCAGACAAGGACTAGTCAAATGAACACATCGTTCAAAAAAAAATATTGCTATTATTCAATTGTAAAATGGATACTGTTTTATTATGGTAGCTAGAGAAGAGCAATAAGCAGAAGACCTACGCATCTAAAAGATGTGATTTAAACCATGAATGCAGTTCACTAAAACCAATAAACAACAGCGTACGTTAAATACGCTGTTGTTTATTGGTGTTAGTTTAGTTTAACATTTAGTTAAATGTTGCCATCAAAAGCATAAAAGTATTTTACAGATGTACAAATTGTGCTGCATGTTGGTGCTTTTTATAAAGAGAGTCAACAATAAAACCAGAATGTCAGCAGCACTATGGTCAGATCAAAAGCTTGACTGCTCCAAGTGAAAGACATTTTTGTCCTCCATAAAGTCTTGTAGTTGTATGATGGCCAAAGAGTCTTCTCCAGACAGACTGTACAGTAAAGACAGGACAACCATCACCTCTGTGTAATGGAACCTGAACAGTAATCGCTAAATACCATCAACTACATGTTACACAGAGGTGGATCTGTAATGATTTTGGAATGAAATGGGAGCCACAAAGAGCAACACCGTTCAACAACGTGCATCACTTAAGGCTAGGAACTTGTTTATATTAAATGTTAAATTGAATTAGATAAAAATAAATGTAATCAAATATATATGTCCCGTTTAATGCGTGTTAGAGAGGGTCCATTGCATAAAGAAAAACATGTCTGTTAATTAGCAAAGGAGAGGTATTAATTGCATATCCCACAATATGCTGGATTAATGTTGAGAACTTGATGAAGTAAAACTACTACTATTAAATATAACGTTAAATGTTCTCCTATATTTTACACATATATATTCTACGTTGTTTATAAAAGTTATGTTCCAAACACAAAAAATGAAAATGGCTGTCTAATCTTTAAAGCCTAACAATTCTCAACTACATTTCTGTGCCTTGTTTTTTTTGATAATTCGGGTGCGCTCGATTACAGTTACAGGGCATTCCGACAAATGAAGCTTCCAGTGTGTTCTTTAATCTGCCCACCCACACGAAATTGAAGAGCCATGATACAAGCGCACCCAGAGCGGAGAGGGCGTTTCCATTTCCCCACCTCGGGCAAAGTGATTGGCCAATGCGGGTGGCAGTCATTTTGTAAAGCAAAACATACCCGCCCAGTGTCCCCGGGATGAGGAGAGGACGAGAGTTTGAGCAGAAGAGAACAGGGAAATGAAGTTGTCAGACAGGCTAGCCCAGCAACTCTCGCTCCATAACTAGGCAGCTAGCAAGTTAGGTGACAGGCGGTCACGAGTGGAGATTTATATGAAATACAACAGCTATGAAGGTCGTCCGTTTGAACAACTTGTAGCTACAATTGGTACGTATTAGAGAGCTACACCCAGAGATCTCAGATAACGTTCAAAGTAGCGTTACAGTGGACAAAAGTGAGGACAACTTGCTAGCCTGCTAGCTAACCTTTAGCCGCCGAGCCTCCTTCAGCTTCAACACCACAGTTCACTCGGTGAGTCTTGACAGCCTTAGCTGAATATTTCAGCAGTGTGTGATGTGTGTTTCACGGTGCTCACTGTCCACGTACTGACGCCAGTCCGCTAGTTTTCTTGCTACAGCTAACTAGGTCACAAGCTAGCTCAATTTTGCTGCTGAACACTGCTGTAACGTTGACATTGTTACCGTCTTATTCCACATTTTATCCTCGTTTCGGTTTAAAAAAGTTGGCATTTTATTCTGGCATGGTGAATGCTAACTCGTGAAAACTAATACCGAAGGTTAAACATGTCGTAGAAGTGTAACTTTAGCGCTAATCTACCCGCATTTTCTTTGAAAACTACTGTAAGGTTAGCAATGTTAGCTAGCTGTGTGTGTCATGTTCTTTAACACTGTAACTCTGTAGTTTTACTTATGAGTGTCGAATTTCAGTAAGGCAGTATAACTAATAAACTGTATCGTTGCTTGCTTCAGGTAAGAGTTTTTCAGCCATTTCCTGATGCAAGGAGGTACAGGAAGTTGAATTGCTCTTATAGCATGTCAAAGTAATTGGAAACACTTTTATTTCCTCAGAGATTTGGGCTTGTAACACCAGCTTTCAGTCATGCCGTTTCCGTTTGGGAAGTCTCAGAAGAGTCCAGCTGATATAGTGAGGAGTTTGAAGGAGAATGTGGCATACATGGAAAAGATGGATGCTGGGGACAGCAAAAAGTGTGAAAAGGTTGGTCTCACATTTGAACTGTGTCTATTATTCTTAACACCTTCTGCTAGTCTTAGTCATTAACTGTTTGTTCATATTAAAGGTTGCAGAGGAGGTGTCAAAAAACCTGGCTTCACTGAAGGAGGTACTGAGTGGAACAGGTGACAAGGAGCCTCAAACTGAAGCGGTGGCTCAGCTTGCTCAAGAGCTGTACAACACCAACCTCCTCATCGCCCTCATTGCAAACCTGCAGAGGATTGATTTTGAGGTGGGGAAAATGTACCTCTTTCTGCCGTGATTTTATGTGTGTTAAAAGTATTGATCCCTCTGTTCCAACACCAAATGGTCAGCAGCGCTCCCACTGCCTGATTTGAACATCGATGCCCAAAGCAAAAAACCATGCTGCATATCATCAGTTAGCCGTTCATCTCTCGAAGTGCTTTTTTTTTGTTTTTACAGGGGAAGAAGGATGTGGTTCATTTGTTCAGCAATATTGTGAGACGTCAGATTGGAACCCGTACACCCACGGTAGAATACATCTCTACCCAACAACAGATCCTCTTCATGCTTCTGAAAGGGTAAGTTCATCTTTTCAGGCCGCAGGAACTCACTTTTTGAAACGTTTGAATGTGAGTGGCACTGTTACATAACCAACATGAACTACTCTTAAACTGTAACCAAATCATTTTTAGGTACTTTTTAAAAATGCTTTTTTTGAAAGATCACATTTCTTCAACATACACTGTGATTTCTTTTTTTTTAAAACATAACCCAGTATGTGTTTCGACAACTCCCAGAGGAACGAGCTCTAACTTGTTGCCTTCACCTGTGGGTAATGCATGTTGATGAAGAGAGTGATAGTAGTGCTGGTTTTACAGCGCTAAAGAAACTGAGTCATCCTGTCTGGAGAGCAGCATGTGTTACGGCTGCATTGCATTATGGTCCATTGAGTCTGCTGTTTTCCGAGACAGATTAGAGTAGGTTTACACATACAAGGAATTTGCTTTGATGTATTACAGCGCATACATAAACACCACGATTGAAGTTGTAAAAAAAGAGCTAAAATATGTGCAGTTGGTATGAATTGAATCTGCAAGAGCTGTGCAGGATTTTGAACTTGGTTTTAAATGTCACGTCTCGAAAGAGGAACAAACTGTTTGAGCGTTCGGAGATAGACATCTAAACCTGATGTTTAACACCAATGTGCAAGATGATTCTTCTGCTAGACACTCTTTTTTTAATATATTTTGCATGTGACCTGTCTACATTCAAAGGCTTTCAAAAAACATCACCATAGGAAATAAGGCCAGCATTTTGTAATGCCTCATTAAAGTGTTAAGAGTGACATTTCCAGTGTTTGTTTCACACTGTATTGAATGCTGATGTAAATGACTTGCCTTTGGCCTGTGCAGATATGAGAGTGCAGAAGTGGCTCTGAACTGTGGGATGATGCTGAGAGAGTGCCTGCGCCACGAGCCTCTGGCACGGACGGTGCTCTTCTCTGAAGACTTCTACTGCTTCTTCCGTTACGTAGAGCTCTCGACCTTTGACATTGCCTCAGACGCTTTTGCCTCATTTAAGGTGCGCTGCTGTATTTTCTTTCAGTTTGACATATTCCTCATACCAACAGTTCTTATCTTACATCTCGCTCTTATCTATTCCCTCTCAGGATCTCCTCACAAGGCACAAGATTATGTGTGCGGATTTCCTGGAGAACAATTATGACAGGGTGAGATTTCTGCAGTGGATTGTGACCTTTAAAGGAGAGAATGCTCATGACGTGCCTAATATACCTTTATTTATCTTCAGGTGTTTACAGAATACGAGAAACTGCTGCACTCTGAGAACTACGTCACCAAACGACAGTCTTTGAAGGTAGAACATCCACTTCTGTCAAATGAAAAGCACTGTTTTACTGACATGCTCTCAGTTGATTGTGCATTGAACAAGTGTTGTGTCTAGATATGCATATGGCACGTGGGAACCTTCAACACTCAATGACTGCCATCTTGGCTACATAACAAAAGTTGCGCAACCAGCCACTGTTGTGGTTGCATTGGTATAGACAGCAGCACTCTACAAATACAAGTTTTACCTGTTTCTTTTTCAGTATTTAATAAACGTACCACCATGCTGGTTTTGAAAAGAAACCCCAGCTGATTTGATTGGGTTAATTGCGTAATCTGTAATGTTTTGCTACCTTGAACAACAATGTTGATAGCTAACAGCAGCGATCATCACTTGCGTTGAGGGCACAGCAGCCGTGTGCGATTTGATTTGAAATACTACATGGTCGAAACTCACACACTGCGCAGATGTTCACAGTGTATGACATGCAGTATGCTAAAGGAAGTATCCGCAAAGGTCTTACAATACATTCCATACTGTTTTTCAGCTCCTTGGGGAACTTCTTCTGGATAGGCACAACTTCACTGTGATGACAAAGTACATCAGTCGGGCGGAGAACCTGAAGCTGATGATGAACCTGCTCAGAGACAACAGCCGAAACATCCAGTTTGAGGCGTTCCACGTGTTCAAGGTAAGCACTAAAAACATGTCATTGTAGTTTTGAAACTAAAGCTACTTTAGAGCGTAGAGCAATACTTATAACACTTATTTTATTATTATTTAAAACACTACAGGAAAAGGAAGACTCCAAAAAGTATAATAACGTCCATTTAAATACTAATACATCACTGTTTATATTGTTATACATACATGTTTACATACTTAGTAATATAAATAATTGTATTCTATTTATCTTCTTTTTGCCGATATTTACTTCAACTTATTATCTTGATGTTAGTTCCCTAGTAGTCAAGAGGTAAAAGAGAAGTAACAACCTGAGAAATATATAATATCAATATTTTCTATTTTCATTCATTTTATACTGAAATGAAGCAAATGTAATATCCCCTGGTATAAATACAGTAATCTGATTATTTTGAAGAGCCATTCTGCTGACATTACTTCTTTGAACATTGAAAGTGGTTTTACATTAAAAAAATGTTCTCTCCCTTTTTTTTTTTAAGGTATTTGTTGCGAACCCCAACAAGACCCAGCCCGTGCTGGACATCCTGCTGAAGAACCAGACCAAACTGGTGGAGTTCCTGTGCCACTTCCAGACCGACCGGTCAGAGGACGAGCAGTTCTGCGACGAGAAGAACTATCTGATTAAGCAGATCCGGGACCTGAAGAGGCCCGCGGCACCGGAGGAAGCTTAAGGTGCCCGGAAACAAGCGCTCCGTCAGGTGGTTGAGGTTTAAGGTGGTGCTGGCTGGAGCTGCAGAGAGAGAGAGAGAGAGAGTCTAAATAGACATGCTTCATTAAAATCTTATTAACTACAAAATATAGGAAAAAAAGTACTTCCTTCACTTTCTTTTTTTTTTTTTTGTTTGGATGTGAAGGTGATTTCCATCCAGCAACCTGAGTGGGCCAATAACTGTTATTTAAACCATAGTGCTTCTCTTCTTCTTCTTTAGTGATAATGAAAAGTCCGTTCTTGTAATGTTGGACCTTAAACTGTTACCCTTTCCACCGAGCACCGATGCTGGCAGAGAGCGTAGAATGACAGAAACGTCGCCCCATTCGCAGCCAACGTGTGATCTTTAAAGTCTTTCTCAGAAAACATGTAACATATATTTTAGAGATCGAGAAGTAAATATATTATTTTTCTAATGTATCTTCATGGTAAACGGCTTAAAACACACCGTCTCTGAACACTTAGTCCTGCATAGGTTTGGTTTATTGCCTTATTGTAAGCTGTTGTGTTGTACAGGGACTTTATAGATTTAGATTGGCAGAGTGACATACTGGCCGGGTCAGCACATAGCCATTTCTTGGTGATTCATATGTAGTTAATAGGCCTTTTGGTTGCGTGTGTAAGGTCAGAAATGTTCCTGCTGTGCTTGCCGATGCATTAGCTAGCGCAGGAAGAGGAAATCAAAACCATAGAGGAATCAATTAATAATGCTGCAATTCTTTTTCTCTTTTTTTCCCGGCTGCGCTCAGCGAGGCTTACATGACTGAAATAGAAACATCAGATAATGCTGCAGGGTAGCAGCCAGGATCCACCCATTGATCTCAGTGAGAGCCTCTCGTACACAAGCACAGATAGAAAGCCTTCATTTCAAAACGACTCATTTGAAACTACCTGACAGTTCTCATTTCAACACTGCATAACATAAGATATAATGCCGTTTACAAGGAGGTGTTGCCCATGACGATGCATCATAAGTATGTTGCACTGTGAATCTATTATATTCATACGAAAGCATGATCATTTTTCATCGTGAAGAAATTCCTTTTTTTCCCTTTGACGCATATTGAACATCTGTTACACAGGATTTGAGGATATTAAGTAATGGACATTTCATTTGACTGGAATCATTTGCCTCGATTACATGTAAAGTCATCCGTACATTAGTTACCTCGTAACCAAAGAATACAAAAAGAAAAGGGGGTGGCAGAGGAAAACACGAAACAACTTCATGTTCTTCTCTTTATTGCTAAACCGATTATTATAATACTTTTTAAATAATAGTTAAGTGTTGCAGTGACTTATAATGACGTGTTGTTGTCAGCCAGACCCAGAACTCAGCATCTCAAAGGGCTCCCTCGAGAAACGTTTTCCACTTTGAGACAAGTCATTGAAAATTGCTACGTTTTTTTTTCTTCCAGGTTTTAGGACTCACTCCTGCACCTCCTATAGAACACACTGTAACATGCCCATGATGCATCAGAAGGCTCTTCGTCCTATCAGATGTCAATACATTGCCAGAATAACCACAAGCACTTTTTTTAAAACAAGTTTGTTTTGGATGAAGAGCACTGAATGTCTTGAGTTCCTCACTGATTAGTTTATATTTCTTTAAAAAGCGTTAAATGATTGCCTTACTTCCCCCGTTGTCACTAAAATGACACATTGGGGATTTCAAGAAAAATGTTGTCTGTGCGCACAGTCTCCTAGTATATACCTCATGGGATTTGAGTTTGCAAATGCTGTGTTCTCTTTCCTTTCCTTCCTTTGACAAGATATTTGATTTGACAGTTTCAAATACACAACAGTGGTTTGTATGCATGCCTAAACTTGATGTATATGTTCAAAGTTGAACGAGAACTGCGACCTGGTTTTCACAATGGAAAGCTAGATTTTTAAACTTAAATATTTCATTGGGTGGCGCCACACAAACGTTAATTCATAATGAATTGCAGTGTGGTGCCTTGTAATGAACGTTGCCTTATTTAAAGACATTTAATGGATCGTAATGTAAAATAAATTCCAGACCTTTTTAAAAACCAAAGTCAAAATGTACATTACAAGTTCCAAAATGCATTCATTTCTCCACATCTGTAGCTTTATCACCATTCGCTCGATGTAATCTTATGAGTGTGGATATATATTTTAATAAACTACACTCTGCTGTGGTGGATTAACTTTTTTTAATCACTATTTGGTACACTGCACCAGATAGTCACAAGGTCAGCATTAACGGATCCATATGAAATGTGGGAACTCTGCTGTGAACGTGGTACATTATGCACAAATAGACGTCCTGCTCACAGGGCACTGTCATGCCACCAGTTTATGAAAGAAAGTTTGTCTGACCCTTACGGTGATCAACTTTTCAACTTATTACTAATGTGAGACACAATTTCTCAAAAATGATACTAATGAATCAGACCTAACCTGCAAACACAAGTCATTATTTATATCTTAATGAGCACAAACACACTTACAGCTTGCTGACAAAGTGTTGCGTTATAATATCCCAGATGATCTGACTTTCTTTGTGGGGAAAAACTCAACTTTGAGAACAATATTTTTTAATTTGCTCATACAAACTTTCTGAAAGTGTCATGACGTTGCGCTTTGGAGAGGACGTGCTGTACACAGTCGTCCCATCGGGGGGCGCTGTTGGCAACATTTGGTATTACTAAAACAAAGCATCTCATGTTTCTAACCCTACCTCTAATATGAGTATATAAATCACTGGCAATAGTATGTAGATGTCAACACAAATTCCTTATGATCAATACTATATATTTCATGATTTAGGGGTTTTCTGTTTTAAATATTTGTTGTGCTTTACTTTTTTCTTTTTCTTTTTACTCTTGTTGCCTTCTCTTTTCCCCTCCTTCTCTTTCCTTTATTCACCATGGGAGCCAATTATGTGTACATAACTTTATAAAAGATAAAAAGTGTGAAAGCATTCATGAAAATAAAACTTTATGGCAATTTATACGCGTGTGTTGCTTTAAGGGTTGCTTTAAGGGTTGAGTGGACTTGGATAACTGCAAGCAGCTAAGTGGCTGCACACTGTGTGTGTGTGTGTGTGTGTGTGTGTGTGTGTGTGTGTGAGACATTTATGGCTTCTTTAATCTTTGGTTATTATTTTTTTCAATGTATAGGACAAACATTTTGGAAAGGAAGAGAGTTTTTCTCCCCTATGTTTAGTTTTACTCATATAATTAGTCTTAAATTAATTATGTAGACCAGGGGTGTCAAATACGCAGTGGGCCAAAATAAGAAATGGGTACTAGTCGAGGGTCGGACTGGTTCAATGTTTATAGCAAAACTTATTGAAATGAACTTATTGCACATATTAAACCTGGAACTAACAATCAGTTGCATTCATTTCTTATGGCTCTATCTGCAGCTTTTCCAGACTCATTTCTTATGATTACATTTTTCCACAGGCCAACAGCTTCAAAAAAACAATTTCCCTCAAAGAAAAAACCAAACATGCCCTGTTGTCGCAAGAAAAAAAGTGCAAAAGGAAACATTGAAACTGTGTGCTGCTCTGTGATGCTAGTTGAGATACTTGGCATCTCATCTTGGGTGCAAGTTCATCAATGTTTGGGCTCAGGCTCTGAGCGGAGGAGACCCTCAGGATTGAGTGAAGGTGCAATATACCAGCCGGCCAGATCTAATAGTAATTAGAAATTATCCTGTGGGCCGAAATTAAATCCACCACGGGCCTGATTTGGCCCCCGGGCCTTGAGTTTGACACATGTGGTGTAGACCGAACTAGAACTGGCGTATAAAGGCTTAACATTTTTACTTAATATTTGGAATTATGATTAATGTAATCACGTTAGTTACAATGTTTGACGAATAAAATATCTTATAATATCTGGGGAAATAGGGTTTAATAATGTTTTGAGACAGTTGCTCTATTTTAGAAGCAAATAAATAAAAGATCACATTTATATAATACAAATATGTATATCAACACAGAGTAAAACGTTAAAATATATCAAATAAAAGAAGATATTCATTAAAAAAAACGAGAAGTTGAAGTATGATGTCCAATAAAATAGAATGTGCAAAGAATAAATTATTCAATTAAATCTATTTACAAAAGCAAATTAATATGAAGTAAAACCTCAATTAAATATAAATAACAATGTGTATGAACATAAGAAGTTAAATAAAAAAGAAACTGAAAAGTGGAGATGTGAATATATTCATTCCAGCTTACTGAAACACATTTTCTGTCCTTTTTGAAAGTGCGGCACAAGTGTTGATGTGTATATGGATACAGTTCAGTAGCCTGGGATTCAATTCAAAACATTTCTAACATAATGTGTGTGTTTTAAGTCATTTTAAACGTTTAGTGTTTGGTTTGAATTGACAAAAGCAAATTATTAAGTAATTTTGGTTTTAAAACACCTTTCTTTTTTGGAAAATGTTTGTTTTAGAGTCTCTGCAACATAATTCAATAGTCCATAAGTCAATACATTATATTTGTTCTTAATTTAAAAGACTTCTAACCAAGATCAATTCTTTCTGTGAACTATTTTAACAAAAGGTGAAAGGAAATGTATTTAAATGAATTACATTGTATATCTCCAGAAGATCATTCTAGACAGTCAGTCACCGCTTGCGTCTTGTCAAACTTCTTTATCCAGTGATGCAAATGGATATTGCTAAAAATAACCCCCCCCCCCTCCCAGTGTAAGCCCAGTTCAAAACACTGGGGCACATTCCACCCTACCAGGAGGTTTCCAACAGGAGACTGGCTCAATGGGCTGCAGCTCTATTGTCTGTGTGGAGGTCAATTATACCACCCGCAAACTTGCTTAAAACCCAAAAACATCATTATTCCTCCACCAGAGGCAGCTACATTCAAATTCATGTTTCAAATTTACATCCGTGAACTAACGCTGTTTTCAAGAAACACACTTTAAATAATACCATAATTAACCTTCCTTCTTTATCACTGCAGGCTTACTGAGATCAAGCACACTTGGTGGAAGACCAAAGTGGCAGTTGCAATTCATTGTATTTCTCATTGTTGTTTTATTGTATAAATGTACCAAAAATCAGACATTATGATTGAAAATCAGAATAGGCTTTATTTACCAAGTAGTTTTAACATGCGAGGAATTTGCTTTGGTATATGGTGCATACAAAGAGACAGAAAGGAGAACGTAGCAAAACCAAATATAATTAAAATAGGACTGTTAAGACTATTATAACAAATTAACAATATTTACATTTGACAAATACTATATACTGTATTTAAAGTGGAGAGCTGTGCTGATTTAAAAGAGGTAGTAAGGAGAAGATATTAGCAACATGTGCAGGATTTACAATACAAATAATTAAACAAAGAAATTACATTTAAATCATATTCTCCTTTAGAAAGTGTCAGCTACATCTAATGTAAGGCAGTTAAAATGAAAGTAAACAAATATATATTTAAAATGATAATGTATTATTGATGTTATTTATTATTATAAATAGTATATAAGTATTCATTTCAATCAATGAATCTATTTGCACAATTATAATGTCTTTTCTATTGTGAGTTTGTATAAACTTGCTCGTAATGTCGATTTAAAGCTTTAATTTGTATTTGTATTCTTACTATATATACTTGCCGTTAATGTTAAGTTTGACTTTTTATTATATTTGTATCTTATTGTATCTTGTAATTATTTTTAACTCATGTAATGCTTGACACTGCTGCTGGAAAAAAAATATTTCCCAATTTTGGATAAATCTATCTATCGTATTCGTATTATAAACAAGTAAAAAAATCATCCTCCTTATGAAATCCACAAAACCTAGGACTTGATTTTAGAAACTTGTGTCATTAATCTAAAAGTAATGTTTGTGATTCTGTTTTCTGTTCCGTAAACGCACCATCGGAGCCTGTGGAAGCAGAGCAAAAAGCATTATGGGAAAGTGGGTTAAAGTTCAATCGGGGAAGAAGGCAAGTAAGGCAACGCTGTTCCCACAGTGGGGGCATGCTTTGGAAAGCATCTGCATCTAACTTGGTGTAGCTAGTGAGGATATCTCCGCAAACTCCACTGTTGTGCAAAAAACAAAGTTGGTGGGTGATATTTGTGTGCATATGTGGCGGGATGGGGGCTCCTGCACGCCGCAGAGCATTGTGGGGGCAGGGTTTACAGGGGTTACAGGTCACAACCCTCCTGGGTTCCTTTGACCAGCAGAGAGCTCTGAATGGATGGTCGAGGTGGGTCCATCAAACTATCTGCAGAGAAGCGTCCAAACTGGGGCTTTAGCAGGAAAGGCTTCCCGTGGGACTGCGCCAGGAGACATTTTGATGCCTAAACAAATAAGTGTTTCTGTGTGTGTGAAAGCGGATTCAGAAAAGACGACATCCGCAAAGATCTGCCTGCTCCCCCTCTCTCGCTCCCCACCCCCACAAAGAGGAGGAAAACAACAAAAAAGATGCTCTCACAATTTCACGCATGACAGAACTTTTTGTTTGTGCAAAGAGGGCTGCAAAGAGGGCTGCAGAGAGAGCTGCAGAGGGTAACATCTGCGGACCAAGTTACGGAGAGATGTTGGAGAGGTCTGCAGGATGGGAAGAAGTGGATCCACGCAATGCAAAGGTAGGCTTTGTGGTGCTAGCCATGTTTTATTTACAAGACATTAACACACGTGGTCGCTTTTAATGCTTCACAAGTGTTTGTTTTCAGGAAAAAGTTCGCATATTGTGAAATGTGTTTTGTTACTTCTCCTAATGCTAATTCGTTAAAGACAATTACGCAGCCTTTCCACGTATTGTGCTCCAATCTTAATCCATGTTAAGATTCATGTAAAAGCTCAAACTTTAATATCCATGAGTCACAATAACTTTATTAAAAAGTTGGTTTGCACACGTCTTTGTTTGGTTTTACTGGCACATTGGGCTCATTAAACCCTGTTTTTAATAATCCGCAAAGGGTTACAAATCCTCACACCCGCTGTTTACCAGCTGCTGATGGTTGATTGCGTTACGCAAGCGATTACATGTGCGCAGATATGGTTGCGATCATTCTTTAATTGACGCTCATCATGGCATCACGAGACGCTGTTGGCGCCACTTTGTTAAAGCTTCACACAGAGCGAGGCGAACACAGTTAGAAAGTCATCATAGCTCACTAATATAGTCCTCAGTTGGAGATAATAGCTCATAGGAGAGAAATGGGAAAGTATTGTTACTTTTTAGGCTCCTAGTTTTATTAATTTCTAAGTTTAAACTCCCCCCACGTGTGTGCTTTGTTTGTGCCAAGCAGGAAATCAGTGTTTTTATCCTGAACACAGTGGACCACGTGATAGACACATAGATTTTAAAGCAGGGTTGCCAACTCTCACGCATCTGGCGTGTGACACACGCTTTCACTCTCACGCTGCCCAAACTATTCTCACGGCAAAAACAAGATGAACAGGCGATCGTTTTTGGTTGGTTATTTACAATGTTGAGTTGACAGCTGTTCAAACTGTAGATCCGCTCCCTCCCCGCCCCCACCACTCTTAACAACGTTAACAGACAGCAGAGCAGTGGGAGCCGGTTGGTCAATCCCCGACCCGTATTGCGCATGCGCATGTCTAAGATAAAAAGTAAAAGTTTGCTGCTTATTGTTCTACTCGGCCAGTGGTTCCCAAACTTTTTCAGTCGGGCCCCCCTTGGGTAATTGGAAATATTTTCGGGACCCCCCCCAACCCGGTTACCATCTATATTGGTAGGATTAATTGTATATTGTTGTAAAAACATTACATTTTTCTCTGCTGATAATAAGAAGATGTAAAGATCCAACTATAATTTTATATTTTATTATGGATTATACATGAACAAAAGTGTTTGTAATAGATACTGTGAATTAATTTGGCCTAATTAAAACTGGTTGGCCTTCTTCCCTGAGTAGTAGATTTTTAAATTCAAATTTCTTTAAGGAAAATATATTAATTAACTACTATTTCTACTGCAGGTTGCAAACGATCACATCACTTGACCATTCCTATTCCACACATAGCCTATCAATGACTTGTGTGTGCTTGCTTTCCCTTGCAGATCTTCTCAAACCGGGGCTGTTGTTTTCAGACTGCCACTCTCAGTTCATTCTCAATGTTCAGCTTTGATCTGTATTTGGTTTTGATGGCAGCAACAGCAGAAAAAGCCTATTCACACAAGTAATGTTGCAAAAGGCAGCATTATTCCCACAGCTCTCTGACCAATGAGATATTTTCGAGCAGTGTTTGTTTACAATTGAATAATAATAATACATTTGATTTATATAGCACACTTTAAAAACAACGTCATCTCTCAAGGTGCTTCACAAAGCTAAAAGGAGACAATAATAAAATCTTCCCGCGACCCCCCTGCAGTATCTCCGCGACCGACAGTTTGAAAACCACTGTACTAGGCCAAAATAGAGTCCAAGAGTATGTGAGAGTGCGTTAATTAATATATTTGGCAGTTTGGAGTAAGTCTGTAGATTTGTTTGTGTCTGTGTGTTTCATGTATAGCTCTCACGATAATTAATTTTGTTGGATATATTTTCCCGGAAATTATTGCGATAAACGATAATATTGTCGGCACCGGTGTATGACCATTTTAGACCACACATTAATGATAATATATAATAAATAGTTCAAGTACATCCTTTCAAACTTCTAGTCACATCCTCATGTAAATGTAAATGTATCGAGGTCAGAAAAGTTATCGAGTTCATTTTTATTTATCGTACGATAAGTCAATTAATTGCTTATTGCGACAGGCACACAATAAAATAGTGGAAACAAGCATGTGTTTGACTTTCATTAGTGAATGAAACGTTGTGCCCTTTATAGTCTGTGTCCAATATTGTGTATTTGTATATATTGTATTAGGGATGCACGATATTGGTTTTTTGAAACCGATACCGATAACTTCCTGCTTCTCAAGACCGATACCGATAACCGATAATAAAAAAAAATGTACGCCACTAATTATTTTAACGCGATTAACGCATGTGTATTTTTTTTTCCTCGGCCGCCCCGTAGTTTCAGAGCGCATCGAGTTTAAAATACCATCTACAAGCTGATGCTGACAGCCCCGCTGATGCTGACAGCCCCGCTCCTGCCGCCCGCTTGTGGCAGACCACACTTCCACGCTCACCGGCAGGCACCGACTGGCCATCTGGAGGACCGGGAGGGTGTGTGTATGTGTGGCCCGAGCGAGCGAGAGAGAGACCTTACGTGCATTGTTGTTGTTAGCATCTGGTGCTAGCTAGCAGCGCTAACGGATCTAAGGAGCTGTTTAAATGAAAACAGAGGAGCGACATTTCGCCACAACTGCGCTGAGCACTTGACTTTATGCAGGAAGCCAGACAGTGGGACATTGTACGAAAAGTCAGCACACTCAGCACGGATAGTGCGCAACATGATTGCAGCGTCCAGGCAGCTCCGGTTCGAGCATATGCCTTGAGTTGCACATAGCTCCAACGCCCATACCACCGACGACATGTTTGTTTACTGTCCTGGCTTCACGGCCGCACACCATTTACGTCACAGCCAGGCATGAGTTAGGGAGCGCTGGATTTGTGAAAAACTCCCCTCTTCCTAAACCACTAATACCACAGTACTGGCAAAACGGGAGGAGCCGAGTGAAAAACAAGCGCCCCTCATCCCAATCCACCCACACCGCAGTATTTTTCCCAAAAAATATATTGTATATTATCTGGGCTATTAATACTGGTATCGGGTAAAGGGTATTATAATTTCCAATAATGTTCCACAATCTTATCAAAGTATAATCTCACCTTTCAATGTTGGACATTTAAATATATAGTCAAGTACTAATATAGGATGCAATGTTCAGGTAGCCTACTGACTGTTTCCAGTTACTTTGTACTTTATTTAACTAATTTCCAGACTGAATATATAACGTTTCTTCAATTGCATCTAACATTTTATAGTTTTATTTTTAATTTAGCAGATTTGGAATGCAAAAATAATATTATTAGATTACCACATGTGCCCTTTGAAACCAGAGTGTGTTTTTTTCAAATAACTTCCGGCATGCAAACGTATTTGAATGGATTTTAAAGGTTTGTCATGCTTGGAAACAGTTTACCTTCTAATACATACATGATGATGACGACTGCCTAAAAGACATGTATTCTTTCTCCAAACATGGTGATCTGTTCAATATTTGTCTACAGTTGTCTCCTGGATTGATTTTCTTTCTGTTTTCAGGTGGTGCTGCGTCATCCTGCCTGGAGGTTTTGGATGTCAATCAATCCTCCTTCTTCCTATGGTCCTCCAGCTAAGGTGCATCTAGTGTAGTTAGTGAAATAATTCAGAATCTACTGCCCTAGTTGCTCCTTCTGGCTGGAGGGCTTGTTGTTCTTCAGGATCTCTCTTCACGCTCTGAAAACAGATTTATCTCCGGGCTCTATGTGTCTACACTTTTACAAAACACTTGTATGTCTTAGGCCCCGTCCACACAGAGACGATATCAGTTGAATCCGCTAACGTTCTCTATCGTATAGACCAGCGGTTTTCAAAGTGTGAGGCGCGCCTCCCTGGGGGGGGCGCAGTGTGAGAAAAAAATAAAGTGTCACTTGCACACTGTTGGCTGTCTGTGGAGACCGAGTTCACCCACCTCGCCAAAAAGGCTGTAAAAGTGCTCATTCCACGCAGCGAGGCTCCACCCCCCCGTTGACAGTACATGAGCACCCCCCCCGTTGACAGTTGCTCTACCAATTTGTGTGGGCTGGGCTGGGTGAGATTCCAGGGCTAATTTTTAGTCCCAGTCCGCCCCTGCCTCCACCTACCTGTGTGAGTGCGGGTGTTCCGCATTGACTTTGATCAAAAGCAAGTACCGGTCAAGGCTGCAGCCAGAGGATGATCTATTCCTGTCTACATTGCATCCCCGCATCATCCGCCTGTGCGCATCAAAGACTTCAGTAATAAGGAGGCAACGTTGACGTTCAGTGTATTGCCGGGAGTATATAAGGATTTATCCACGATGTTGAAAATGTAAAAAATATTTAAGAGATAAAAAGGTTTTTAAAAGTTATTGTTTAATGTTTTAAGGAGGTGACGCTACTCAGCCAATCAATTCGGTGCAGTCAGTGAGTCAGCACGATAGATTCAAACACACAGAGAAAAGACAAGAAGAGAGAAACAGGCGTGCTCCAAAAAGAGAAAGGTAGACAGCGAAAACAAAGCATTTAATGTCATTTTCTCTTACTGGACCTCTTTGAAATGCAATTTAATACCCCTGAATTATAGCAACAACAATAATAATAATAATAATAATAATAGCAATAATAATTGAGAGGGGGGGCGCGGCTGTTCTTATGTTCTCTGAGGGGAGGCTCACCTTCCCACACTTTGAAAACCCCTGGTCTATATTATCTTTGACACCAAATTGTTCTGTGAGATGGAATGCTTTGTGTCTTTACTTACATAACACTAATATGTTTTAGTTCTGTCAATTGAAGTTACTTTCTCATTGTATCCTTTTTTTGGCAGTTTGAACCCAACTAAACCATCACTGCTAACGGTCAGACAGAAGCAGAATCACGGTTTAAAGCTTTGAAAACAAAACAACAAAATAGTTAAGTAGTACTGATAATAGTAACAGTTTAAAAACAATGCATTGCCTAAATACCAGCAAGGGGAAAACACGTTGAAAACACGTTGTGGACCTGGTAGTCCCAAAGTGCTCACAGTGCAGGTAGTACTCACTGACCTACTGCAGTTTGTGCACTTCAGGTGCTGCCGGTCACCTTCCCTCACGCGTCAGCCTGTTTACACCTGGAATCATGTGGGTTTACAGCCAGTTTTGCTGGTTTGCTCTCAGCTGTTGCCAGTCTCTGCTGTGCAAATCCATGCAAAGCTCTCTGTTTCTCAACATCTCAGCCAAAAGAAGTCTTTTTCTTTATTCCAAGCTTTGATGAACACTTGAAAGAGTCTGTAAGGCACAAAACAGCTGCTGTTTGTTTCTCCCCCATTGTTGCTGACGTGTTATGCTCTCCAGGCATCTTAACATTAAGCTTCTTTGACATTGCTGCTTGTCTCGCTGTTTTCGGGTGGATGACTTCACAATTTCAATACTCGAAACAATTAAAGAAATTGCACAGTATCCATCTGCAAGCCGCCAGATGTTGTGAACAGCTACACGTGTTTTAGATTGTACTCATTTGGGGAAACATAAAAAGTTGTATGTGCTTTTTTTCTGGCTTTATGGACTTTTTATTATCAATCTTCAGAGTAAGAGCTACATATATTGTCAAACTGAACACTAGGTGGCACCATTTCGACTTTATTGGCTCTTGATGTAAAAGACTGTCCACTCAAGATGAAAATAATCACTATAGGTATTAAATTAAATGTGTGTAATTATTAGAAGTAAGTAGATGCTGTTAATTGTGTCATCCCACATGTTTTCTGTACACGTTCTCCATGTTTTTGCAAAAATAAAGGCTTATTTCCATACTATATCCCACGCTTGTGTCATTTTTCATTGTAATGTATGCGCATCTCCTGGCCACATTACCCGCCTCAGGTACGGTGTCCCAATTGCATCCCATAACACACACTGCTATTCATCTAACACGACGACAGCTCGTGCACCGCATCACTCCCCTCCTATCTCCACTCCTGCATCCACACACTGCCAGCTCTCATCACTACTATCACACTGGAGAGGAGATCTAGGGGCAGGTTTACGCTGTGTGACGCGCGCTTTTGGAGAGGGAGCGCGCACTTGTATTCATCTGTGCAGCGAGGTGAGAGTCAGTGGCGTCAGTGAAGAGGGACTCAAGTTATCAGAGCACATTTCTGAGCGGCGGGACACAAACAAATCATGAGGATCCTGGAGCAGCAGCTTCTTCTCCTCAGTGCAAACCCGGGATGCTCGTGTAACTTTTAATGTATTGAAGTTTCGTGCTTTCTGTCTTATTTCTATTCGCGTTTAAGTGCCTGCCATGGCTGCTCCATCAGTGCACAGTGCGCTCTTTCTGTGCGCCTTCCTCCAGCTGTTCCCCCTGCCCGGAGGACAGGTGCCGAGCTGCCAGGAGGTGCGCACCGTGTTCCAGTCTCTGCATCCGAGCTCCAAATGGGTCCCAGAAACGCCGGTGTCCGGTAACTATCAACTTTAAGCTTTGACACGTAGCTTTATAGCTTTTACGCACACAAATTGGATGCACCATTACAGTTATCCAGCCACTACAGTTCAAGGCTTCATCAGAGAGCCCACACACACTCTCCATCCCTCTGGCTCAACAACCTGCTCTGTAAAAAAAAATAAAAAAATCTAACGGCCAGTTAAGTATCTTGTAAAAAAAAAAAAGGAAAATGGAGCAGGTTGAGTTATATAAGTCTCTGGTTAACTGTTTAATAACAAGCTTAGAGAATCGATCAATCCAAAAGTGGAGCCACTGATTTTTGGAAATTGGAAGCAGATTTCTTGCAGGTGTTTTTTTTTTTGTGGGCTTGAATCTCCTGCTAAGTTTGAAACAGGTGATTAAGTCATTTGTAAGCTGTCACAAAGTATTAGAGGTGTGATTTGAATTGTAACCAACAATGGAAGCAAAACCTGCATTTATCCAAAGGGGTAATTATGTTCCCAGGAGCTCCAATGTCAGTGACTCTGCCCTTTAGAGGAAAGAACAAGACAAGTGACTTGACTTTTTAAAAACTGAGCTAATGGTGAATTCATTGAGGTGTTTGCAGGATAGATGAATCCCCCCGATTACATTTAGCAGAACACAGCGTGTGTGTGTGCACTGCTGGAGCCTGTTGCATGTTTCTGATCCAGGATGCAAATGAGGATGTCTGTCATGTGGCTGAATCACAGCCAGATGCAAATGCTGAATGGGTGTTAAGAGTGTCATGTCAGCATGGGGAAAGTGCTCCAGGTGATCGGGTTTCTCTCCATTCGCAGCATGCACCTGATTCTCCGGAGAGATGTTTACCAAATATAATGCAAAATGTTCACAGGAGAGTGTAATGAATCACACAACTGATTCAAGTCAAACAGCAGGGAAATCTGTACTTTGAAGCACATTTTGTCACGCCAGCCTGTATTAATCTATCTCTGGGTGCATGCAGCTCCAACCTGCTGAGCCCTTACATCTCTCCGTGCATACATCTGTAATCATACACTCTACACCTCCTTGGCCATCAAGCATTTTATCAGCCAGAGGAATATTTAGGAATATTTTCAGAGCGGCCCAGCTTTGCATCTTCCCTGAGCCCTGCGCGCCAGGCGTCTCGGGAAACATTACCTCCTCCAGTGGAAATCAATCCAGCAGTCAGCCAAAGGACAATTCATCCTGGCCTGTTAAGAGGTAGTTTGGTTTACACATCCCCGCGACGCCCACGGCTACTCTGCTGCAGATTAATTGCTGGTTTTATGAAGTCAGCTGCTAGTGCGGTGCCTTAGCAAAGTGACTGATGGTAGTGGATTCAGACATGTGCAGTAAAAAGATTTCCAGATGAATGTACAACATGGATTAAAAAAACCTAAGGCTTCTTTTTAAACATCATTTTATGTTATTTAGTTGTATCTTGAAATCATTTGATGTTTACTCATCTTATGAAAGGCTCATGATCATGATTAAATACATGTTTAGTACATTCAGTTTTCATTCATTTGTAATTGTTGGTCTCAGCAGTGGTGGAAAGCAAGTACATTTATTGTACATACAACTTTGAGGTAGTTGTACATGTTTCCCTTTTCACTTCATATATATGTTTTAGGTCATATTTGGTTCATAGGTGAGATTTTAAATGCATGATTTTTACTTGACGTTTTATAACAGTTTGTCCATAAGAAGTCTAATAGGGTGTTTTACCAAAATGGATACATTTGGATAAACTGTTTAACAAATTAAATGTGAAATATATCCTTTTTAGATAAGATAATGTCACTGTGCAATTACATGTCTTTGGAGCAAGCATGCAGATGCTTAGCCGAGGATAAAAACTATAAAGTATAATGCTATGATACAAAATATAAGATATAAAATAGATCAATATAAATTAATATGCACACAATTAAATATTTGGCTCGGTAAAAATGTGTTATGTTCATTTCTCTATTTGATCTTTATTAAGTGAAATTGTGAAAAAAAAGATGGGAAACAGCTCCATACATTTTTAAAAACTGGATTTTCATGTCACAAGAAAAAGGAAAAATTGTTGAATTAACATATGATGCAGTGCAACAACGAGGAAGTAAATCCAATATATACAAAACACACAGGTTACTATAAGATTCCCAATTGGGCTGATATGTGTATACAAACTATAATATAAGGTTTTAAAGGTCCCCTATTATACTCTTTTTCAACAATATATTATAGGTCTCTTTAAATGCTAATGAGCTGCTGCTGGCCACGCCCCTCTGAGAGATGATTGACACAATGGTGCTCTAGGACGAGATTCAGGTGATAAGGTGGACGGGTGATACCTTGGTTGGTTATTGGCTAATGGTTGCACAACCAAAAACTGATCAGCTCCATTTCAGACAGATTTTTATAAACATGGATCAGGACAAAAAGAGAGACAGGGGGAACACAGATTTATGTGACCTTTAACATGTCCCGTGTAACACGTTTGACAAAGTGTTTTATGGGTAGGTACTTTTTACTTTATTCTTAGGATCCACATAAAAGACAGTTTACACCATATTCCTGACCATCTACAATAAAAACAAAAAACTAATTAAATAAGAGAAAGTCTCACATTCATAATGTTACACCAACAGTACATGATCAAATCGAAAGCCAGACATAAAAGATGTACAAAAAAGCGTTTGTTACTGCACAATGCTAACTCTGCGCTGTTAAACAATACAAGCAACATCAATATAATCAACCTTAGATATTCATTGATGGATGTAGAATCACGTACTCGTACAAGTGTAGTACTTTAACATCGAAGGAAATGTTTCTTACATGACGAATGAAATAATCGGAATATTCAACAATTCCTGATCTCCTGAAGACAAAAAGGGACACCACTCTGAGAGCATCTGTAGAGAAATATAACAGAATATGACGAAAAATACAAGTGATTGAGAAACAGTTTGCAACGATTAAAGTGTACATTGTAATTTTTTATAAACACATCCGAAAGTCACACTTTTGGCAAGGTCTGCAGGGAGGAGCGCGTTGCCACAAAAAGCATTTTATCCTGTAAAATATTAAAGTCCCCTCACGATTCAATATTTGTTCAACAATGAGGCCTGAACGCAGAGAGAAGAAGCAACCTTGTAAAATGTCATGTTGATTGAATAATGTTTGATAAGCTGCGGTTAGAAATGTGTGTCTTATTGCAACTCATTTTTAGTGGTCCAGTTTAATCAAAGTGTGATGTTGTTTACATTATATGGATAGAAAATAAACAAAGAATAAAGAAAATTCTGACTAGATAAACATCATTTGATTTGTATTTTCTGTTTTCTTAGTCTGTTTATCACCCTGCGGGACCCTTTTAGGTTTCTCTTGTGACTGTGTGGGGGCCCAAACCCCTATGTTGGGAACCACTGCATTAAAACAATACGAATGTTTTTCAGTGCAGTAACAGTTGCATTACCAAACGTTACATCATCAACAATGATCACATTCACTGCATTGATAATATATTCCGTTTTATATGGATCTCTGTGTAAATCCACATGGAAGAAACTGTTGCAAAATGTTGCATTATTCTGAAAAACATGTGAAGTTTAAAATATAGTATTTTAGTTTTCCTTCAAATAAATAGACTCATATTAAACTTCCCATGTTTTCAAACTGTCATTTAATCCAGTGATGACATTGAAATCCTAGACTAAATTTAAGCAATGCATAAAGATTTAAAAAGTAATATGAGAGTTGGCGCTAAGCTAGGTAGAATTTCCTTAAATCCCAGCTCTTCTTATTCTCCTTTCCTAATGAGCTTTTTGGCTTTACATTTCACAAAAGCATCAAATATGCAGCCGCTTCCTTCTCATACATTCAGTACATTCTTTGGGTCCAATTTTGTGGTCATCCATAAAACATCTGTGTCATTAATTATTGCAGAATACGTTGAAGAGGTTTGCTATAATAGTTCTGAACTTTGTGCTTGCTCGAAAATTTGCAATTGAATGCGGTAACTGTGCGGCCCTAATGTAACACTAGTTCTTCATTGAGGCATGAGGCTGATGAAAGATTGCTGAAGTTAAATGTTGAGGATGGCTTGCTGTGATTCTACTGAGAGAAGTGTCACTTACTCTATGTGTGTGTGTGTATGTGTGTGTGTGTGTGTGTGTGTGTGTGTGTATGTGTGTGTGTGTGTGTGTGTGTGTGGGTGTGTGTGGCCTAGCATTACTATACTTGTGGGGACCTAAATTTGTTTACATAGTCACGTGTGGGGACTCGCCTCCCTTATGGGGACAAATTGGAGGTACCCATGAGGGGAATCATTAATTTTAGGGTGAAGACTTGGTTAGGTTTAGGGTAAGGTTAAGGGTAAGGGTTAGGGTTAGGCATGTGTTGGTTATGGTTAAGGTTAGGATAAGTCTCCAGGAAATGCATGTAAGTCAATGTAATGTCCCCTGAAGTGATGTATACATGGTGTGTGTGTGTGTGCGTGTGTGTGTGTGTGTGTTTATTGATAATATGATGTATCATGTGTGGGAGGTGTCTGATTCAGAGAGATGTCCGCAGAGCTAATGCTGCATGTAGTGCCAAGAGGGTATAAACCACCAAAACACAAAAAGCTTAAGTTGTTCTTTCCGCCCTCGTGATTTTTAAAAGAAGTGAGAAACAGCACTACAGTGGAGATATGAAAAACACAAACAGTGCTGTAGGAGTACCACTCATGCCTTTGTTGTGGCTGTGGCTGTGGGTGGTTGTAGTGTCTGAAGGTGAAATGGAGGCTGGGTGTCAGTTCGCTCCACCGCGTAGTCATATATGTGCAGAGAGAGAGAGAGAGAGGCACTTACCCCGGGACATGAGTGTGAAAGCAGCTCCATCAGTGTTCGCCGGTGTTTGGGAGCGGAGGACGTGGAGGATCTCTGACAGCAGCAGATTCATGAGAGGAGCGCCTGATTCTCACTAAATGGAAGAGTAGGACATGTTTGCTGGAGGCTGGGCTGACAGCTGTCACTC